CCTGTATTATCCATGACATGTTTAATGTATGGGTCACATTGTTATTACCACTGCCTGACCTTATGTTTTAAGTTTCTACTACAGTTGTTGACGTGTATGTTTCTTTTTTCACCGTTTCAAAGGCTAATAAATTATTATACATCTGTCACCGCAATGCCATAAGTTACAGAACACGGTCGCATCACATCGGTCGATACTCCCGCTGTATGGTCTTCGTGCATACTTCGCAGTATCCTCGTAATAACCTCATATTAATATTACAGCTACTATTATAGCTGTTAATTATCTGATTGTGTGTACCTGTATTTCACAGCCTAAATTACAAGATTCATCCCAGTTATTAATGATATCACTGGATGGAGTTGAACCAACTATTATTCATAGAGTCAACATACCGGGTATACTTGAACCAGACATTATAACATGTCATGTAAGTATATATCTCTCATCTTGTTCCACTCATTACTGCTAGAAATTCATAAAGCTTCAAATTTGTACATTTAAAACTTAAATTTAATTAATTTATTTTCACAAAATTTTATGTGGATAGGACGAGCATTAACTCGGTACCTTTGAGTGTAACTGTGTTGTAGCATGGAGGTATGAACAGATACCTCCATGGTTATAGACTCTGACATTTATAAATATTTTTCATTGAATGATTGATATAGTAATGCGATTCAGATTAGCAACAACGATAATGTAATAGAAAATACAATACCAAAAATCAGTATAAATGTAATTCATGGAATCAGATCTGGCTGTAATTCAATTTTTTTTTTTTTTCAAGTCTGAGAAACTCATTGCAGTGAGTAGTTCAGCTCACCATAGTATTGAAGTGTTTGGAATTCAAGAGACAAAGCTACGAAAAGTAGATCATATTGTGAGTATTGATTAATTAATAAATCACAATGATTGTTATCCTGGTTAATTCATCAAGCTCATAAGTTGTACCAAAGTTGCCACTATACGTTATACAGCTAAATTTGTTTGCCTTGCGTTTAAGAAACGAGACACCCTTCTCAGAGTATATTATTTAATTATTTTTTCCTGTATATAGTGTATTCCTTCAACTTTTGTATATTTAAATATACTACTTTAGTACTTTTAGACCAGTGGCCTATAGTGTGGAATAAACATATTATTATTATTATTATTAATAAATTATATGGATCTGAGATACATGTATTGTAAGCTATTATTTTCAAACTTGTTAAAACAAAAAATAACAACACAATAACTGAAGAAGATTTTATCCAAGAATTGTTAAATTAGAAAACAAATTTTGAACAACTCATTATTCTTTACAAACAGATTTTAAGTGTTAATAATGTGGCCAGCAATTTCAGAGATGAACTTGGTTCTATCCTCTGATTAACTAAAACACTATTGAATTCAAAATCAAATTCAAACGATTTTACAATAATAAAGTCTGGCTGCCAACTGTTTTTACACCAGAAAAGATTAAGTTTATTACTTATAACAAGTTTAAAGTTAATATCGAATTTGAACTATATTTGAGACAAATCAAAAATCTGCAACACAGAGTCAGCTTCACTAAGTTTTGCATTACTTCCCACTCATTGCCAATTGAAAAACTTAGATATAATAAAACACTTTCAGAGCATAGGTTTTGTTCTCTATGTAATGTACAGGCTATTGGTGATGAATTTCATTAATTATTCATATGTAAAAATAGCCATATTGTAAAGCTTGTACTAAATTTGAAGCTGACCTAGCAATTTATGATGACAACATTTGTAAGTTATCAACTATTATAAAATGTGCTTGCTAGGCACAAATAATTTATTTATTTTATATCTAATCTTTAGTTTTGTCTGTTTTATGTTTTCTCCTTCATACTAAATTTTGTGTTAATAAAATATCTATCAAACATTAATAGTATAGTATTATATAAAATCTGATCCCTTATAATTACTTGATGTGTCAATTTTGATTGGTTACTGTAAATTTCAGACGTAAATTTGTGTATTTATTATTATTAAGCATAAGTAATTTAGTAAATTCAAATCGTTTGAAAATACAAACGAGCGGGATATAAATAAAAAAAAATGTTGTGAAGATAGAGCTTCATGACCTTTGCCAAAGTACATTTGTAATAACATTTACATATTAACAGTCATATAAAAATTTACTTCAAATGACTACAATCACGACCATAATACAGATATATATATATAAGGGATTGGTCAGTTACTCCGGCCTAGGGGGTGTCGGCAGATTCCATTTTGCCAGCTGTAAATCTCAGTTGACCCACCCCCTATCAAACAAGCAGCCTATCGGCTGCAATGCACATGGCAATTAAAGAACAGAAGATATCATTAGAAAATGAACAAATCTGAGAGAGGTCCACATGTAGTACCTATATGTATAGAATATCAAAGCAATTGGACGTGCGGTTTTCAACAAGAAGTTGAAAATATCACTTTTTACCAAAAATTACAAAAATATTCATCAAAATTAGAGAATTAAAGATATCATCATGAAATGAAAAAATCTGTGAGAGGTCCACATGTAGTACCTATATATGTAATATCAAGGCAATTGGACTTGAGGTTTTTAACAAGAAGTCGAAAATATCACTTTTTACCAAAAATTACAAAAATATTCATCAAAATTAGAGAATTAAAGATATCATCATGAAATGAAAAAATCAGAGAGAGTCCACATGTAGTACCTATATATGTAATATCAAAGCAATGGACTTGAGTTTTTAACAGAAGTCGAAAATATCAC